GCGGCCCCAGGTGCGGCGGGGCGGGGCGCGGGCCGCGGGGTGCGGGGCGCGGGGCGGCCGGGTCACGCAGAACGCAGGAGCTGCTCCTGCCGGCCTCAGAAGGCGGCCCCGGACCCGTCCACAACGAGCGGGGCTCTAACTCAGGGGGAGGCTCAAGGCCCGAGCGAGGGGGCGTGGGCACAGACGCAGACCCAGCCCCGCTAACTCGCTTCTGCTCTGAAGAGCGTCTGACCACCCGCGGCAGAATCTCGGCTCTGGACCTCGTGCACCTGCATTTCCAGCTGTAAACGTCTTTAAATGGTAACTCAGAGGGTGCCCCGGCCTAGTGCTGTGTTGACATTTTTAGGAATGGCTTATCTGTAGAATAAGACAGTCCTGGGAACGACGCTGACCTAAGTGGACGCAGTCTTACTGGAGACGTCTGGGTGGCCACCAGCCCTTGAACAGAGCCGGAACTGCTTGGCGGTGGTAACCGAGGTGGCATTGACAAGCAGCCTGGCTTCCTTGGCCACACTGAGAAGGCCTGGGAGGAGGCAAGGGCCAGAGCATGAAGAGCTTTACATGCCATGCCACTGGACTTGGGGTTTCATTTTATTAAAAATATGTATTTCAGGTCAAGGAGAGGCCAGTGGAGGGTTTTCAGTAGAGGCCTGATTCTATTGGATTTATGTGTTAGGAAGCTCATCTTGCTTCTGGGTGAGAAATGCGCTGTCAGGGCAAGAGTGCAGGTGGCCACTGCAGTGGTCCTGGAGAAAGATGAGCTTAGCCTCGCGACCATTAAGATGTGGATTTGGAGCAGCCGGATTTGAGAAATACTTTGGAGGGGGGTTTGACAGGCCTTAGTGACCAATTGAGGTACAGGGTGAGGGTAAGGGAGGAATCAAGAATGACTTTTAGATTTCTGGCCTGAGCCTCTGGGTGGATGATGGTCCTGGGCCAGAGCCTGGGGGTGATCTGGAATTGGGCTTTGCTCTCACATGTTCAGGTGGAGCAGTCAGGTAGGCAGGTGGATATGAGAGTGGGGTGCTCAGGAAGGTCTGGGCTACAGGCATTCATCTGGGAGTTGGAGTGTAATCCATCCAGGGCCTGGAAAAGCATCTCAGGCGAGACTACCAGTAAAGAAGAAAGAGGGCTCGAGACTGATCCTAATGTCACATGGGGTTAAGTAGGTGCCCTGACAGGTAGACTTGAGAAGCAGCAGGCAGTAAGGTGAGAGGACAGCCTGGAGCATGTGGCATCATGACAGCCAAGAAGGGACTGCTTTAGGGGCCAGGGGATGGCCAGCTGTTCTGAATGCTGCCAAGGAGTTGGGAAAGACGAGGGCAGACAGGTGCCCATTGGATTTGACAACGTGCAGGTGATGATAGAGGCAGTTTTGGGGGCATGATTGACTCAACATGAGGGGCTGCGTTGAGAGTGAACGGGCGGGAGGAAGTAGGGACAGCAGCTCTTTCAAGAAAGTTGTCAGAGAAGGGAAGCCTAGAGGAGAATATGGTGCTGAGAGGCAATATCTGAAAGAAGATGGGGATTCTCCTGCTCCAAGGAGGTGGGAGGGAGGGAGGGAGTCGTGAGAGGGAGGGAGGGAATCGCCCCAGGCTCTGAGGCAGCAGGAGTGCAGGAGAGGGTCAGGTCCGGCAGCTTCTGGTAAAGCAGGAGGCAAGGTCGGCAGCTCAGAGGGGCATGGGCAAGGGGAGTGTGGGCATTCTGAGAACAGAAGGAGAAAGGGGAAGGTATGACATAAGTCAGGATGTGGGAAAGTGAGCCTTGTAGAGAAACAGTAGGATTTCCAGCAGTGTGGAGGACCCATCTGAGATTTGCTATTAGGCATTTAAAGTGAAACTGTTTTCTTTCTTTTTTTTTTTTTTTTTAAAGATGACCAGTAAGGGGATCTTAACCTTTGACTTGCTGTTGTCAGCACCACGCTCACCCACTGAGCTAACCAGCCATCCCTGTATAGGGATCTGAACCTGTGGCCTTGCTGTAATCAGCACCACACTCTCCCAAGTGAGCCACGGGCTGGCCCTGAAACTGTTTTCTAAACCAACATTTAGCTGTTCGAGAAAGGACATGGAAGGATTCATCCAGAGTTGGGGGTTTTGCTAGTAAGGAAGGTAGACAGAGACAGGCACCCCAGAATCTAAGCTAGAAGGAAGTGCTGAAATATGGCTGTGGGAAGCCAGATTCTCCTCTCCCCTTTGGGCAACATGAATGACTAGGAAAGCTCCTCCTAGCCGCTGTCACCTGGGTCCCTGTGTGTTCAGTTTGAGATTAGCCATCAGTCATGAGCTACCTCTGGACAATTTCCTTTATTTCAGGAAATCTGTGCTGCACCCCAGCTGTTTCCAGAGAACCCACAGGAAGGGCAGGTGAAGCAGGGGCTGCTGGGGGACTGCTGGTTCCTGTGCGCCTGCGCTGCCCTGCAGAAGAGGCGACACCTCCTGGACCAGGTGTGGGTGCCACTCACCCTGTGTGTGTGATCAAGCAGCTTTCTCTTCTGCTCATTCCCTCCTGTTGGCTGTGCACAGAAAGCTCTTCCAAAAGCAGAACCTCGCTGCAGCTGGGTCTCTGGCTGTGCTGGGGACCTCTGCTGTGGCTGCCCAGGATGGTTAGGGAAAGTGTGAGGGTTCCGAGGCAGAGACTCAGGGCCCCAGTCTGTCCCCATCCTGCAGGAGGGTGGTGCCTCGGCCCGGCTGCAGGTGTCCATCGGGGAGGCTTTCTGCCCTGGTCTGTGGTCTTGTGAGCCCTGGGTTCTCCAAGCAGTCAGAGGCATGAATTTGGAATAAAAAGATGAATGTGCTGGCCTTGAGTAGGAGAGGGTTGGCTGAGGGATCCTGTATCCCTGGTTTGGAATATGTTTTCTTAGCTAGTTGATTTTTTTAAACAGGTTTTGAATATAAATTGGCAAAAGGTTATGAAACTGTTTCTGATGCTAGACAGATACAGGCAGAGAACGCCTTCTCATATTTTCACTATTTTATGTTTGGCTCACTGCTAGGTGTTACCTATTAACGCAACATAGTTGAAAGTGGTGGCCTCATTCAGAGTTCCTCTTGTGCTCTGGCCCCATGTTAAGCATGTCATAGTTACTGGCTCTCATGCTCACATCCCTGCCAACTTTGACCCTTTTTTACAAATGAAGGTGCTAAAACCATTGTCATCATGTTTCTGGTTAGTAACTGGGTGAGCCAGGACCGCACCAAACCTGCCTAGGTGCAAAGCTCACCCTCTCTCCTAATGCTGGGTCAAAATAGTGAGCCCTGAAGAAACCCAGCAGTGGACGCAGAGGGTCCAGGGGGCTGGCTATGTATGTGGGGCACCAGATTCCAAGCAGGGGGTTGCTATTCCTGTGGTGACAGGTGGTTTGTAGCCAGCTCCATCAAGAATTGAGTCATTCATGCCCGCAAAAGTCACATTTGTTTTAGATTCAGGTCAAATGCTTACTGGGGACATTTGCTTATTGGGAACATAGTGGTTGTCTTTAAGATTTGGGAGATACTAGTCTCCCTCAGTGTAGCCCGAAAGTATTTAGCTGAAAGGTCTGTTAGTTTTGCATGCAGTGATTGAGTTTTCCATGAGCACTGATGTCTAGGTGTGGGGTAAAGTGGAGTCCTGTGCAGACAGCAGGTGCCTGTGGAGTGGGTCAGTGGGGGTCACACCATGCTCAAGACGCCTAATGAGCGCCAGGCGATGCTGGTCTCTCATGCTTTCCTTTTGCCTCTCCCTGTGCACGGTAGGTCATTCCTCCAGGACAGCCGAGCTGGCACGACCAGACGTACCGTGGCTCCTTCACCTGTCGAGTTTGGCAGTTTGGACATTGGGTGGAGGTGACCATAGATGACCGTCTGCCTTGTCTTGCAGGGAGACTCTGCTTCTCCCGGTGCCAGAGAGAGGATGTGTTCTGGCTTCCCTTACTGGAAAAGGTCTACGCCAAGTACGTGCGTGGGAGGCTGAAGGGGCCAGGCTGGGACAGGCTGGGGGGCTGCTGCCGCTGTGGGCTGCCCCGGGAGGCGCATCTCTGTTCGCCCTGGGCTGCAGAGCCCTTTCCAGGTCTGCGGGTCTGGCAGCTGGTCCTGGGGTGGGGCTGACTGGTCCCGAGGCAGAAATTCAGAAATTCTCCGTTTGGCCTGTGTCTGCCCCACCCCAGCCCCCTGCCTCTCCCTTCCCACACTGCAGAGTCCACATGGAGCCTGCCTCCGCAGGGAGGAGAGGCGTGCTCTCCACCTGTTTGTTTTCTCAGACCCAGCAGGAAAGATGCTTCCATGTACTTGTGTTTGAACGCTCAGGACAGGTGGCCTCTCTGTGCAGTCAGTGGGGAGGAGTGAAGCCAGCTGGGTGTGCCAGCACATGTTTACTATGGTCCCGACTCAGGGACCCTGCCGCCCACCGTGAGTCTTCACTGAGTGACCCTCCCTCTTAGAGCGCATTTCTCAACTTGCTGGAGGAGGCAGGGCTGCTAGGCAGGTATCTGTATGGCAGAACTGAGGGAGGCTGGCTGGCGTGTCAGTGCCGAGGGAGTCCCTCCCTCAGATGCACTGCTTTCGGGGAACATGGGGTTTCAGCTTTGGAGGTGAGGGCAGTGGGCGCTCGTAGCCTCTGCGTGGCCCTCCTGCCTTCCACTCATGCTCACACTAGAGGCAAGAAAGGTTCTGAATGTGGGCAGAGGACAGCAGGGCATTCACAGGACACTGCAAATCATGGCCTTTGAAGGCGAGACCAGGAGGAGATGAGGTAGGAGGCAAAGAGGGGACTAAAGAGGCACGAATGAGTGGCGGGTCAGAGGTGATGTGGGGGTGTTACAGATGTAGGAATAGAAGAGAGGCGGGGGCCATGCTCAGGGTCAGAGGCTCACTCCCTCTGGCTGTGTTCCATTAGGGTCTATGGGTCCTATGAGCACCTGTGGGCAGGGCAGGTGGCGGATGCCCTGGTGGACCTAACTGGTGGCCTGGCAGAAAGGTGGAACCTGAAGGACTTAGGCACCAGCGGCCAACAGGATAGGCACGGCAGCGGGGAGCACAGGACTTGTCGGCAGCTGCTCCGCCTGAAGGACCGGTGTCTGATCAGCTGCTCGGTGCTCAGCCTCAGAGCAGGTAAGGCGCATGGCTGGCATGTGCCCCACGCAGCCCTGCCTTGGGCACATATCAGCTTTTTGTATAACTCTTCATAAGCTGCTAGATAGCCCTGTCAGGACTAAGCAGAAAGAAGGAAATTTGTCCTCAGAGTTGGTGTCCTGGCTTTGTGACCTTCCCCTATGTGACCTTCCCTTCTTCAGAGGAAGGTGACCCTTTTTTCCCTTGACCAGTCCTTTCGACTAAAGCAAGGAGGAACCCCTGTGTGGTCATTGTCACGTGGGGACATTCTTGGAAACAGGTGGCACAGAGTTGAATCCTGGTAACCTGGCAGAATCAAAACCCAGGTTTCATTTTAGAGATGTATGTGTTCATTATAGAAACTTTGTTTATAAGAAAAGAGAAAAATGACTCACGTACAACCACTTGTGACTTTTCAGTGCTCTCTCTCAGATTTTTCATAAAAATAATATACATCCACGTTCTTTTTTATTGTATACAATTTTCTATGCTGTTACATAAACTCGTCAACACCTTATTTCATTAATTATAAATAACATTACACTGAACATCTTTGTGTGTTTTTTTCATATTTAGGATTATTTTCATAATGTAATTTTGGTCAAAGAATACAGACATCCAAATAAACAGACATGCTGGTGGCTTCCATGCCCCAGCATGTGTGTGAGGGAGGCACAGGCCCTGGCCTGGTTCCCTCAAAACAAGATTCAAGAGCACATTGGAGGTGAGGGGAGCCTGGAGGGCGTGTGATCCCTGCCACCCTCCTGGGCTGCGCTGGGACACCATGCAGGACACAGCCTCAGAGCCTCCTCCTGAGAGCGCAGGAGCTGCCTCTTTAATTTAATATCTGCTCCTGGGAGCTGTTGGCTTAGGGCTGCTACCAGGGTGGGGTGGGGCTAATTCTTGGTACTTCAGGCTTTGGAGAAAACCCCCAGGCCAAAGAGATACAACTGGAGGTCCCCTGGAACCCACTGAAGCAGCAGGGGGCTGGGGACGCAGGCGGGACACGAGGACTGCAGCTGCAGTGGTTTGAGCACTGAGATCACACCAGAAGTTCTTCCTCTGCTTTCTGGCCACTGCCTTCCCCAGACAGGGCACTCCTTTCTGTCTCGTCCACTTCTGTGTCCCTCTGTCCAATGTCTCTAGCCAAATGGAGCCATTTCCCCTCTGGGCCTCTAGTCCTCCCCACTGGTCTCTGATTGAACTCTATCTGAATGTCCCTGCCTCCAGCTGGCTTTGCCTTGGGGACATCTCTGTTGTTTCTTGGCACTTACAGATGCATTGATGACAATAACAATGGTGGCATGTTTGAGAACAGTCCTGAGGCAGGTGTCCTGTACTGACTGAGGCCCAGAGAAGGGGATGCCTTGCCCAGTGCCAGGCCCAAGTGGCAGCTGAGCCATGGTCCAGACCTTGGCCCTTGACCGTATGCTGCTGAGGATGTGCCTGAGCCAATGGCTGAGAGTTGTTAGGAAGGAGCTCCCGTGGTCCATGGGGACTTGGGCCTCCTGTGTAGCCACAGTTGGGTGGGCTGGAGAACCTCCTAGGAAGGGGACAGAGACCTGTGCATCCTGCTCTGGGGACCTCATGGCACCCTTCCCACCCATGACAGAGCTGTTCCTCACACAGGTGCCAGGGAGCTGGGAGAGTTTCATGCCTTCATTGTTTCTGATCTGCGGGAGCTCCGAGGTCAGGCTGGCCAGGATGTCCTGCTGCTGCGGATTCAGAACCCCTGGGGCCGGCGGTGCTGGCAGGGGCTCTGGAAAGAGGGGTGAGTGCTGCAAGGGCCTGGCCACAGGTTGGGGCTTAGAGACCGTGTGCATGCTTGGGCCCCAGTACTCATCTGGTCTGGGCCCGGGTTACTTCACTGTCAGGACAGTGCTTAGCTGTCTCAGGCAATGCCTCTTAGCCCCAGCTCACGGGCCAACCTGGTTCTGTCTTGGCCCCAAACAGACCTCATGAGGCCTGGGACCCAGGAAACCCTAGGGCCTAGGGTCCTGTCTTGGCGGCACCCACAGAAGGATGTATGTGCAGCCAGGCTGTTGGGGGAGCAGGGACCTGGGGGATGCCTGCAGTTGAAGTCCTCAGCTCAGTTTTAAGATCTGGTTGAGCCAGGATCCCCTGTATGGCCTTGGGCACCCCTCCATGGATGCTTGGACAGCTCCCACCCCACCCTGCTGGCCTCTGGGCAGATCCTGGTGCAGCCGAGTGGAATGTCACTCTCTTTAGTTGTGGAAGGAGTGGCAGCTCCAGCCGTGATGATAGAGCAAATGTCCTTCCAGACTCTAGAGTGGCAGCCCATTCAGAGGCAGGGAGCCCCTCCACAGAAGGCTGCTGCACAGATGGCCCAGTGCTGCAGAGCACCTCTGGGTGTGTGAGGAGCTGTGGAGCTGAGCCGTCTGGGAGCTGGCAGGAACACAGGTCTCCCCGGGCCCCTCCAGGTTCCCTCCCCAGCTCTCGTGGGAGAGGCTTCCACTGAAATAAGTTTCCTTTCAGGGGTGAAGGGTGGAGTCAGGTAGATCCAGCGGAAGCATCTGACCTCCTGTCCCAGCTCCAGGAAGGGGAGTTCTGGATGGAGGAGGAAGAGTTCGTCAGGGAGTTTGATGAGATCACCATTGGCTACCCAGTCACGGAGGCCGGTCACCTGCAGAGCCTCTACACAGGTGACCCCACTAGGACGCACTCCGCCTTCTGAAGTCAGAAAGCTGTTCCACTGTGGCGACCCTGGGCCCGGCCCCTGCCCAGGCCCCATTTGGCTTCTCTTTAATGTAAATGTAGAGATTGCCCCGCCCCCTCCCCATCCCAGGTGTCTTGAGGTGGTGGGAGGCAGGTGGGCTCCTAGAAGGTGCTCGTTTTCTGTCTACTGCTGTAGGACGCCGGCCCCAGCCATCCCCCAAAGCTGATGTGTGCTGTGTTCTTGCACTAGAAAAGGTGCTGTGCCACGTGCAGGCGCTGCCAGGGGCCTGGGTCAAGGGGCAGTCAGCAGGAGGCTGCCGGAACAACAGCAGCTTTCCCAGCAACCCCAAATTCTGGCTGCGGGTCTCGGAACCGAGTGAAGTGTATGTTGCTGTCCTGCAGAGGCCTGGGATGCACAAGGCAGACTGGGCAGGCCGGGCCCGGGCACTGGTGGGAGGCAACTGGCCCTCATGCAGTCCAGCGAGCTTCCCAGGCAAGGACTACCAGGCCGTGGGCCTCCACATCTGGAAGGTAACTTAGCCCCAGCCTGGGTCCCCTTCAGTGGGGTGGGGGGCATGGAGGCCTGCAGAGGTCTGGGTCCCAGGAGGTGCCATGCTGGGACACGCATGACTCTGCCATAGGGCCTGTCTCCCACCTCTGGGGTGCTGCATGGGGTTCAGATGCCTGCTGGCACTACCACAGGCCCAGCTCTGACCTGAGTCCATGTGTCTTGTTGGCCAAAGAGAAGCAAACAGCAGCAGCAGAGACAGAGGCTGCAGGCCCCACAGGCCCCTGGCTGTGTCACTCTTTCTGGAGCAGACGGGGTAGAACCACCATTGGGCGGAGCCGGGCCAAACCCTAGTGCTGCCACTTGCAGGGTGACCTCAAGAGGGTGTGCCACCTCTCTCCCTCCTGCAGTTCTCTCCCTGCCACATGGAGACACAACACCAATCTCATGGGAGTGTTCCGAGCTCAGTCTGTCACACACTCAGCGACTAGCTCGTAAAATTTTCTGTTTCCTGGAAAAACTAATGGAGACACCCAAGAGAACGCGGGGGCAGGAGGTGCTGCCTGTCTACTTGCCCAGTGGTTGGTTTCTAATCTTGTGTGTCTCAACAGGCGTGACAGTTCACACCACATTGTTCCCTATTCCTTTGTGGGTGTGTCCTACATTATGTTCTTTTATTCTTGCGAAAGTAGTTTCTGAAAAGCCTTTGCCAGCGGTCCTCAGGCAGCATTGGCCATGGTACCTTTTTAGGCATAGCCCTATCCAGATCTGTCTTTTTCCTGAACAGGAGGATTTGTATGCTCCTATCTGGGACACACACTGGCTCTGGGGCTGAATGAGCCCTGGATTCATGAGCATTTCCAGCTGGCACCTGAGAGCATGGGAGGGACTGACTGGGCACTTGGTGTGTGAACTCAGGAGGCCCTCTTGCCTTGAGCAGAGGCAGAGGGACAGGGCCCTTGACGCCAGCCTCTCCTCTGCACTGAGCCTCCTGTCCGCACTCCCGCAGGTCGAAAAGCGGCGGATCAGCCTGCCCAGGGTCCTGTCTGCACCCCCCGTGGCTGGCACCATGTGCCACGCTTATGACCGGGAGGTCCACCTGCACTGTGACCTCTCCCCAGGCTACTACCTGGCCGTCCCCAGCACCTTCCTGAAGGACGTGTCAGGGCAGTTCCTGCTCCGAGTCTTCTCTACGGGGAGAGTGTCTCTCAGGTGGGGGCCTGTACCCCCTGTTTGCTCTCTGAGGCTGTGGCCTAGAGAGGAGCAAGGGTTCTTTGGAAAGTGGAGTTTGGGGCGGTTTCCCTCCAGGGTTTGTGGGCTGTTGTGCCCATGGCTGAGGCCGCCTGGAGCATGCGGCCAAGCCGTTCTGTTCTCCCGGCAGTGCTGTCAGGCCAGTGGCCAGGAGCGCCGCACCCGGAGCAGCCCTGCCCGCCGGGGAGTGGGAGATCGTGCAGCTGCGGGGCTGTTGGAGAGTCGGCCAGACGGCGGGGGGCAGCAGGAACTTTGCCTCCTACCCCACCAACCCCTGCTTCTCTTTCTCGGTCCCTGAGGGCGCCGGCACCCGCTGCGTCCGCATAACTCTGCATCAGCACTGCCAGCGCAGCGACGGCGAGTTCCACCCCATCGGCTTCCACGTCTTCCAGGCAAGATCCCTGCACGGAGGTGATGGAGCGCAAGCCAAGAGGGGGTGGGAGGGCCCCTCAGGTCATTTGTATCTTGGTCCACGTTGTCCCTGTAGACAGCCAGCTATGGCACAGAGCCCAGGGCTCGGTCATTTGGGCATGCCGGCCAGGAGAGATCCACACTCCCTGCGGTCAACACCGGCAGCCCCGTGTCCACTCACCTTAGCTCAGAACAACTGTGTCCCAGGAGATCCCGTCTCCCCAGAACCATGCTTCCCACCCTGGGACCCGAGGCTCTGCTCCTGGTTCTGCTCCTCAGGAGCGGGTGCTGGGAAGAAGCTGTCGCCTGGGTCAGTGGGAAAGAGGGCGCTTTAGGTGACCAGAAGAGCAGGAGAGCGAGCAAGAGAGGCCCATGCTTGGCCAAGACTGTCTGGCGGCATGACAGACATGCAGCCTGCCCGCTGGGTGGTATCCCCATATTCAGGGCAGAAGGATTTTCAGATCAGACACAGAGCCAGTTGGCAAAGAGCTCTGGGGGGCCAGCACCCCGGAGTCAGTCTCCAGGCCTGAGGGGCCCAAATCCAAGACAGGAAGCAGAAGGGAGAAGACCAGAACCTGACAGTTGTCTCCAGCCTCACTTTAGAATGGGGTGGGGGTGACAGGAGGAGAAGCCACAGAGGCCTCTCGTGGTGGGCACTCCACTAGCCCTTCAGCTGCTCCTGCACAGGCCCCTCAGCCAGCCTGTTCTTGCCCTCAGGTGGAGAGAAGGTTGTGTGCTGTTAAGGCCCAGCCAGGGAAGGGTTGATGAGTCTAGAAGGTCCCCAGGGGCCTCGCTCGGCCTTGCTCAGCTCCCAGCAGCCACGCAGGTTTGCAGTGGAAGAGCAGGGAGCCATGCGGTGCTGGAGGCCAGAGGTCACAGGCCCAGCCTCCCCATCCAGGGTGGCCTGGAGCTGTGTCTGAGGATGGAGTGCAGGTGACCTGGGGGAGGGAAGGACACGATTTTCTCTGATTAAGAAGGTTCTGCACCCGTTGGGAGGGCAGAGCCACTGCCCTCCAGGGAGCTGAGGGGAGACTCCTGGAGTCTGCAGCTTCTCGCCCCAGGCCACCTGCTCAGGTCACCAGGATCTCTGAAAAAGTGCCAGTGCTCAGGGGCCAATCAGAGCTCTTTGAAGGCAGGCCCCAGGCATTGGTAGGTTTTTAAAATAAAGCCCCCTAGGGCCAGCCCATGGCTCACTTAGGAGAGCATGGTGCTGACAACACCAAGGCAAGGGTTAAGATCCCCTTACCAGTCATCTTTAAAAAAATAAAACTAAAAAAATAAAATTAAAGCCTCCTGGTGATCTGATCTTCCTCTAGGCTTGGGCACCACATACAGGGCTTTCTGACAAGGATGGCCAGGCCAGCAGTTCCTCCTCCTCAGCAAAAAAAAAGGTTGCATGTGGCTTGGGAAGATAGGGCCTCTGGCGCCACGAGATCCAGGCAGACTGTGTCAGGCTGCAGCTGACCCTGGCATCCCCAGCAGAGCCCCAGGCTGTGAGGAAGAAGAACACGTCCCCATCTGAGCACATGCCTCCCACAGGTTCCAGCGGGTGGTGGGAGCCAGGGTGCGCCATCCCTGCTGCTCCAGGATCCACTGCTGAGCTGCGTGCCGCATCGCTACGCCCAGGAGGTGAGCCGACTCTGCCTTCTGCCAGCAGGGACCTACAGGATCGTGGCTTCCACCTACTTGCCGGACACAGAGGGTGCCTTTACGGTGACCATAGCAACCAGAATAGACAGGTGGGGCTCCCTGCCAGGGGCAACCAGCAGGAAGCTGGGGTCGCCAGCGACTCAGTGTTCACCTCATGTCTCCCCTTGCCCCTCCCCTGTGGTTCTCTCCCACCTGACCCACAGGCCCAAGCTCTTGCCTGTCCTGGCGGAGACCAGAGGCAGACACGGGTGCCTTGGGACTCTCTCACAGGTCGAAGCTTGCAGGGAGAGCTCAGGAGCTGGGCTGGGGGTGCACAGCTCTCCTGTGTGTGGGGTGGGATCTGGGAGGGGTGACCTGGCGCTCTCTCCACAGGCGGTCCCTTCACAGCCAGGAGATGCTGGGGCAGTTCCTCCAAGAGGTGTGTATGTGGCCCCCAGCCCCGCTCATCTGCCCAAGGCTGCCTAGTAGCCTGGGGGTCCCAATTCCCTAGCCCTTCCCAGTGGCCTCACTGTAGGTGGTCTCTGCCCAGGATGTGAGGCGCCCAGTCACTTCCAGTGAGAGCCATTGGGCAGATGCTCCAGGTGCCTGAGGAGCTGGGTCTGCATTGAACTCCCAGCCACGCTCGGGAGGGTGTGAGGAGGGGTAGGTAGCAGCGCAGCCACTGCCCAGCCTCACTGTCCCTCCTGTCGCAGGTCTCCATTATGGCGGTGATGAAAGCCTGAGTAGCCCTGTGCGTTGTGGCAGCTGGTTCTGAGCCCTGGCCCACCTCACAGCTCTGCAGAGCAGCTGTGCCTGGGGGTCCAAGTAAAGTGCCCCGTCCCAGAGAGATGTAGCCCTAGGGTCCAGCAGGTGCTACAGGAGGGGCAAGAAGAACTGAGTGGCATCTTGTCACGCCGCTGAGACAACAGATCCCACAGTTCCAGGAGCTTCCCAGAATTCCTCCCAAGTCACCTTTCATTGACTCCAGACAGAGGCCTTATACCATGTGGGAGTGTATTTCAACAAATCTTGTTAAAACTATTTATTATTTGAAACATTTTTCAGATATAACTTTATAAACATGAGCTTTGAGCAATTCTGTTCCAAGCAGGCCTGGTTGAAATGGTGCTTGCTGAGCAGGCAGGCTGTGGGGAGGTGCGCAGGGCTGGGTGGGGAACGCTGGTTTTGGGAGGAGGTGGTGAGTGGGGATTAGAAGTTTGGAGGGGGGGAATGGGGCACACCCCAGTAGGGGAGGCCCAGGTGGTGCCAGTCAGAGCCTGGGGGGACGCAGAGGACTGAGGGATTGGGAGTGGGGGAAAGCAGGCCAGGAGAAAGGTGCTGCCCAAGGCTGACTGTGAAGAAGGGCAGCCTCAGAAGTTGGCGTCACAACAGAGGGCACCTCCGCCTTCAGCTGGATGTGCCATGGGGTTGTCCTGGGGATACTGGTCTTCACCCCATCACCCCCCCACACACATCCCAGATGCAACAGTGAGAGCCCAGGGGTCTCTGCATGGTTCAGGGGACAGTTCTCGATGCTGGATGGGGAGGGCCTTCACAAACCCCTCTTTAATTTCTTTCGCTACCTGAGTCCCCTGCTGGTTGGCAGACTAGAGTGCCCGGTGTGGAGCGCTGTTGCCCTGCTAGTCATGCTCACATCTCAACCCCTGGCACCACGTTCCCGTTAGAAGTCTGCCCTCAGGGATGGCCCTGTACCCACTCTCCGCCCCCTCCGTGCCTAGACTTGCTCTTGCCTCCTGCACCAGGAGCTCCTCCCCGCAGCAGGACTGGCAGCTCCGCCCCTAGCACTGCAGTGGTAGGGGCACTGATTCCCAAGTAGCAGGGACCTACCTCTGGGTTGGGGCTCAGCCACTCCCAGTCCGACACGGGCCCTCCCTGCTCCTGGCGGCAGGAGCTGCATGAGGCTCTAACTTCCCACTTGCAAACCCTGCTGCGGCCCCTTTATCCACTGGCTTCTGTGCTGACCTGGGGTGAAGTGGCATTGCTGCCCAGCAGGGGTGTATGGCCTGTCTGGGGCTTCCACGCATGGCTGGAATGCCTGGCCTTTGTGCCCTGCATGCCTCAGTCTCCCCAGCCAGGCCACCCCACCTGGTCAAGGCTTCCCTAGATGCCGAGGCGAGCCTTACAGAGCTGAGTGCATGGCTCGCGGCCAGGGTCTGCACGCTGGCCTGCTCCATTGTCCAGAATGTTTATCACTAGCTGCCCCTTTCCCTCTCCACACTGTGTTTGGGCAGTAACCCCAGGGATGTCTGCAGGCGGACCATGGTGAGGGGCCCACCATTGGCCTGACAGATTTGGGGAGTGGCCCCTGGGGTATGCCAGCAGCTTCTGGGGAGGGAAGGGGATGCAAGCAGGCACCAGGCCCTCATGGGCTCTTCCTGTGTTCTGGGCCAGCAGCCACAAGCTGCCAGGTGACATTTCTCTCCAAGCCTCCACCAGGGTGGGCTCTTTGCAGCTGCCTCTGGCAGCCTCAATGAGCTCAGGGCACAGATCTGCTTAGTGGGTGGAGACCACCTGGACCCCACATCGCTGCCTGGATTGCCACATGCATCTCATCATTGTCCCCTCCGGCAGGTCGGGCCACGAGTGCACCCAGTTCCCGTCGTTGCACAGGCCACCTGGGCTGCCGGGCCCCTCAGCCTGGGTCGTCAGGAGGCCTCCAGGGGTGCACTCGGGCTGCAGGCCAGCACTTGCTGCTCTCTTGGTGCCTGTCTCAGCTCTCTGCCAACCAACCGTTCAGTCAGTCAATCCAGCAGTGTCCCATTGCCACTTGTGTGGCTGCCAGGTTGGTAGTTTACATGAAATAGAGAAAGCCGAAGCTTTTCTCACCCCATTAAGACTCCCTAGCTCCTCCCAGGCGGGTGCCTGTCTCAGTCACTTAGGGCTGCTGTAAGGAAGTACATAACTGAGTGGCTCATAACAGAAACTTGCTGCTCATGGTTCTGGAGCCTGGGAGTCCAAGACCAAGGCACAGGCAGCCTTGGTGTCCGGGGAGGGCTGTCTTCCTGATTCACAGATGGCCGTCTTCCAGTTCCTGCTGCGTCCTCACAGGGTGGAAGGAATGGGGTGCTCTCTGGGGTCTCCTTTATAAGGGCGTTAATCCTGTCCGTGAGGGCTGCACTCTCACGGCCTAATGTCTTCCCAAAGGTTCCACCTCCAATACCAAGCCTTGAGGGTTAGGATTTCAACACATGAATTTGGAGAGGACACAAATATTGCAGCACCCCTGCAGCACATCCTACATGCCCCTCCACAAACCTCAGAGTCCCCGGGTAGTCCCCAGGGCTACCCTGAGAAATAAGATGCTGTGGACTGTTCCTGCACCCTCTGCTCTGGGCGAGCACCCAGAACTCTCCAGAACACAGAAGGCAGGGTCTGGCCTTTCCATGGAGTCCAGGGCTGTGCCCAGGGCCAGGGCCAGGCCCAGACTGGGGTCCCCAGCCATACCGTGGGCCTGTCAAGGGACTGTGGGGTGAAGACCACCTCCCTCCCATGGCAGGAAGGGACGCTGGGTGGCCTTGGCAGATCCAGACGGGCAGGTCTGGGTGTGTGCAGTGAGAACACCTCTTCCCAGCCTTCCTGGCCTTTCCCAGCAGACTTTGCCCCACACCACCTGCAGGGTCCCTTCCCACTGCCACTTCCTTTTCCAGGTGCAGCCGGTCAGGGCCTCCTTGGTGGGAGCCTGGTTCTGGCATCTTCTCTCTCACTGCCGAGGGTCAGCCCGGGGGGCAGCAGAGCTTCCGGGGTGAGTGTGAGATCCTGGTGCCCTGAAGGCAGGCAGTGGTGGGGGAGGGGACTGGCCCGGGCAGGGCTCCTCGGGCAGATGCTCCGCGCTTCCCGTCTCAGTGTCCCACGTATGCCTCACTGGCTCTGCTGGGTTTTTCTCACCTTATAGTTGACAGATTTAAGCTAGCTTTGTTGCCTTTTGAGATTAGAGTCATTTTATTCCTGGGGATATTTGGGGGTCTTTCGATCCCAACGTGAAGCCTGGATATGGCTGCTTTATCAGGGGTCTTTTCTGGTTAGGAGGGAGAGCTTTGGTGAGGGTAGGCTGGCCTTGCCTGCCTGGGAGCACTCAGCTCTCTGCAGCAACCCAGGGGAGGCCTCTGGTCGCAGCCCGTGGGCCATCCGGTTGGCGCTGGGACCCCCAGCCATTCCTCTCTGATCCACAGCAAGTGCAGGCGGTGTTCGCAAGGACAGCCGTGCCTTGCATCTGGCTGGGATCGCAAGCCCTGCCCGTTCAGGGGTCCCAGGGAACGCGGGCACGAGGTTTGCATGGGGATATAGGCAGTTCTCCCCCACCTGGGCAAGGCTCAGGCTGGGCCAGTCCTCGTGCCCTGTGGGCTCCCAGGGACTGGGCAGTGTGATGTTGGGGTGCCACCCGGCCTCACTGTGTGCCCGTGTCTCTTTCCAGCTGAAGTGGGTGCATCCCTGTCCTGCAAGCCCAGGGAGGACACGGAGCAGTGCGGACACATCCCTTCCCACCGTCTCACTGCCCGCTGACCCTCCATTCTGAAAACCCTCCTTCTGAAGACCTCCATTCTGAAGACCCTCTGCTGCCAGCGAATATGGCTGAGACCCCCAGCGCCCCTGCCCCTGCAGCGCACAGCACGCGGTAGGGAGGACGTCTGTGCACAGGTAATCCAGAGTCTGGCAGTGAGGTGACAGTGGGGGTTCTCGACCCACATGGGGTCAGCCAGGGACAGGGCAGGGCTGGGCACCCTCAGAATGGAGTGGAGCTTTCTGTGCCTGTGGAGCAGGGGGTGGGCTGGGCGGACGTGGAGCCGACACCGTGGAGGTAGGCAGGGGCCTTGGGAGCCATTCGAGGAGCTCAGATCTCATCTCAGGGCAGTGGGGAGTGGCCGGACCGATGTGAGAACATCTGAAATCTCTCAGCGGCTCTGGCAGGAGAGAGTTTCAAGGCTGGGTGAGAGGGGGCCTTAAAGACCATCTTAAGCTCTTGTCCTTCGTCTTTGTGGTGGGTAAATGGGTGTTGATTGGTATCTATTCAACATTTTATTATAACAATTAAAAAAAAAAGAACTAGGGACTGGCCTGCTTGACCAAATGCTGCTGGCAGGATGATTACATCAGGGGCGTGCTGTGGTCTGGTGACGCAGGAGCCGGGGCCTCAGTGAGGGACATGCAGTGGGCTGACTGTGGGGGTATCCAAACTCCAGAGGGGTGAGAACTGAGGGGTCCGAGCAAATGGGCTCTGAGTGAGGACGTCCCTCTCAGGGGAATTTGCAAGACCTGCCTGCGCCATCACGAGACCCGCCGCAGGCCAAACAGCTGGCCAGAGCAGGGCTTCTCCAGAGCATGGCGTGGAAGGGGCTGGGTGGGCTCCACCTGTGGGTGGGCGCGCTGGGCCACAGTGGCTCCGACCAGTCAGCCTCCCACGTGCTGGCCTCCCGGCACAGCCCCAGCCCCAGCGTGGCTGCACAGCCCACCGTGGACCTCAGAGGACTGGCTGGGGTGCCCAGTAGACAGCACTTGAGGAAAAGAACTGGTGGGTGGAGGGACGAGGGTGCAGCTGGCGAGTGGGACGTGCAGGCTTAGGGAAGGCGAGGCAGGGCTCGGGAGTCAGGGAGGGGGTGAGCAGATGTGAGAGAGGCCCACGCACATCGGCCGCATTACTCGTGTGCTGTGGGGTGTGTGCGTGAGCTCCTGGACAGGGACTTAGGCTCTGCTCAGACTGTTAGCGGGAGTGAGCCCAAAGTAAAAGCTGCGAGCCCTGTCTGCTGATGCCTCATGCTGACCCTGACCTGGCTCTAACCCTGACACTGACCCCAGCCCTATCCCTCACTTAACCCTAACCCTAACCCTAACCTGAATCCCAACCTGAAACCTAACCCTGGCTCTGACTCTGGTCCAGTCTTAACCCTAACTGTACTCCAGACCTCACCTTAACCTTAACCATACCCCTCACCCTATCCCCATCCCTAACCCTAACCCTGACCCTGACCCTGACCCTGACTCCAGCCTCATCCCTGACTCCAATTTCGACGTGCCCGCTGTGCTCTCTCCCAGCCCCTCACTCACTGCCCTCCCCCAGGTCCCATCACCCACAATCCAGCTTGTCATCTTCCTGCACCTCTCCGTGGCTCTCCCAGCCTCTGCAGCCCCATCACTGGGGCTCAGTCTCATGGCCTTGCCTCTCCTTCCCCAGCCTTGGGTCCCGGGTGTATTGTGCAGGGGAATCCCAGCTCACAAGCTGTCCCAGGAAAAAGCCAGGGCTGGCCATTCTAGTTCTTTCCTCTATGGACTCTGGGGGACTGGAGCCAGTCCCTACCCCTCCAGCACCTTGGTTTCCCTTCCTGTGTAGCAGGGCTTGGGGCTGGGGGTGCAGAGGCTGGTGCCCAAATGAGCAGGTGGAGACAGCCCAACCCCCAGTTCTTAGGGGCCCTCTGCTCTTCAGGCTCCTCCCACTCCATGTGGAATGGGTTTTATCTCCCAAGAGCTGGGTGCTTCCTGGCCGGTGCTTGTCTCTGCATGTGAGAACCCCCATGGGGCAGGACCAGGCAGGAGCAGCCGACACAGCCCCTCCATACTCTTGACTCAGGTTCACACAGGCCTTCCCATGGAAGTAGGTTGGTAGAAGTGTGTGTGTATGTGTGTGTGTGTGTGTGCGTGCGCGTGCGTGCATATGTGCACATATGTATGTATGTGTGTAACTGTATGTGCATGTATGTGCACATGTATATGAGCACGTATTATGCGCGCACATGTTATGCATGCATGTGTATACATGTATATATGCATGTGTGTGTGCATGTGTTTATGTGTGTGCATGTTGCATACATTCACTTGTGCCTGGGTATATACATGTTCACACATGAATGTGTGTGTGTGTGTGGTTGTGTGTATGTGCACGTGTGTATATGTGCATGTGTGTATATATGTATTTGTGTGACATTGTGAAAATATATATTTGGTTTTCAGCCCCATACAACTCCTAAAACCCTTAGAATCTCCAAAGTGATGAGTCGTTTTGCATGCTAGTTAAGGCTGGCAGCCCTAGGTAGCTTCAGGGTGGGGGCTGGTCACAGGAAAGGCCAAGGCAGGACTTTCAGTCCCACCCTCAACCTCCAGGGAGGTTGACCGCTATTGTCCAATGATTTCATCCATCATGCCTGTGTAATGAAGCCTCCATAAAAGCCCAAGAGGCCAGGGTTTGGAGAGCTTCTGGACAGCTGATCACGTGGAGGTTCCTGGAGGGTGCCGTGCTGGTGGAGCAGGGGAGACCCGCCTGCCCCCATACCTATGTGTTTCTTCCTCTGCACCCTTCGTAATGTCCTTCATAATAACCAGTAAACGTAAGTACGTGTGTCCCTGTGTTCTGTAAGCCATCCAGCAAACTAATTGAACCTGGCGAGCGGGTTGTGGAGACCCTGATTTATGGCTGGCTGGTCAGAAGTTCCAGAGGCCTGGACTTGCGACTGGCATCTGAAGTGGGGGCAGTCTGGGGGCTGAGCCCTCACCCTGTGGGACTTGACACTATCTGCGGGTAGACAGCATCGGTGTTAAATTGGAGGACACCTCTCGGGTGTCTGCTGTGGAACTGCTGGCTTGCTGGCTAGGGGGGAGAAACCCCACACATGGTCACAGAAGTCGGTCTTCTGTGTTGCTGATTATTGCTGAGTGAGAGTATAGAAAAGCACTCATTTTGTTTTGTCATATACTCAGTGTGTGTGTATGTATATATGTGTGTGTGTATAAGTAAACATGTGTGTATGTGTGTACATACATGTGTATGCGTGTACGTGGTGTATATATGTATGAATGTTTAGGTGTGTATGTATATGTGTACGTGTGTACATACATGTGTATGTGTGCACATGCGTGCGTGTGTGTGTACACATGTGTGTATGGGGAGGAGGCTGTATTGCACCCACCCCATCACACCAGACCAGCCCCAGTTCCATCACCCAGGGCTCCCTCTGGCCCGGCACCTGCTCCCCTGCTCTGGCAGCGCCGGGGGCCCTATTTGCCTGAGTCCTCTTTCAGGCTCACTTTGGCCCACGGTCCCTTCTGTATCGGCCCCTCCTGCCACTCACACTTAGAGATCTCGAATCTTTTCAGGACCACTAAGACCTCATCTCCTCCTACACTGCTATGGGTCCAAAGAAAATGTCTCAACATACTTCCCCTTTCTACGGATTTACAGTGGGGTGTTTGGCCATCTTTGTCTTTAACCCTGTATTTCGGAAAATTTTGATACAGAAGCAAAAGCCCAGTGAGCACGCGCGCCCATCTTTGTGATGATCAGGTCATGACCTGTGTTGCTTTTCCACCCTCCACTTGCCAGCCCAGAGTGCTCTGGAACAAATGCAGATTTCATACCATTTTATCTACAAAATTTCATCAGAAAGAAAAGATAAGGTCGAATAACATAACAACAGTAACCATTACCACGCCTAGCCAAAAAATGAACACTTCCTTAATTTCAACAAATATGCAGTCAGTCTTCACACTTCCCCCTTGGTTTTGTACAGTTTTTGAAGGACAGTAAGGCAGGTTTTATTCTAGGGAGGCTACCACCGTGCGGTTTTGCAGTAGGGGAGAAGTCGGCTCAAAGTTCATCTTGTACGTTAGAAAAAAAAGATTATTTGATTAAATTGGTATCTGAGGAGTCTGGCTTCAGGCCAGGGTCCTCTGTGTGACCTTTCAGGCCCGCCACAGGCTGTGATAGGCTTTGCAGGAAGGCCCGAGGGGGAAGCCGCCCTCCTGCATCCAACTGGTGCATGGCCAGGATGCCTCGCCCGCCCGCACGGATCTGCTGCCTCCTAGCCTGGGCGCCGCACCCACCTGGGCCCTCCTTGTTGAGGGGCCATGGCTGAGTCCCTCCTCCACACCCTGGCTCGGGATCTTCCTCTCCCGGCCTCTCCCCTACCTCCTCCAGTCCCCCAGGTCCATGGACAGGCCGGAGCCTTTTGTCCGGGCTCCTGGGTTGTGAGCTGACTCCTGTCGACTGCCACCCACCTCTTGCTGGTGACATCCCCTGGGAAAAGTGGGACTCCAAGACACGGACACCTTTTCCTTCTGCCTTCGCCTGTTGCCCGCACTGCTGCGGTGAGCGAATGGAGGCATGCGTGTGGCTTCACCCACCACCTCGACACCAGCAGCTCAACACAGTCCAAATAAAGCGCACGTGTCCCGCTGACCCACGCGCCTCTGTCTCTTCACTACCTCCTGGGCGGTTTTTTTTTTTTTTCTTTTTTGGGTGTCTCTCTCCCTGTGCAGTTTCTCACTGGCTGGACCTTGCTGCTTGCATTCCTGGAGTGTCCTCAGTCTGTTCCCATGCCCAGACAGTCTCCTGTCACTTGGTAGTTAGCCCTACAGGCTTGGCCAGATTCAGGTGTGATGCGTTTCTTGGCAGAACCACTCAGAAGTGGGGCGTGCATTTCTACCAGGAGGTAGGTAACGTCTGGTTGTCTTTTTTTGGGATGCCAGAAGCCTCTGATGGTCATTAACGTGGTAAGTGGCCTCTAAGAGGGACCCCAGTGATCCCCTAGTATTCATGCAGTCTCCCCCAAGGGTGGGCTGGACTTACCAACTCACAACAAGCAACAAGCAACACAGCAATAACAGTGATGCGTCATCACTTCCAAGATGAGGTTGCAGAGAGGTCATGTCATTCGTCTTAAGTGCATTCTGTCTCGCTCACTTGCTCTGCAGGAAGCCACTTGGCAATTTGTCAGCTGCCCTAGAAGAGGCAGACTGAAGTGACCCTGGACAAGAACCAGGGAAGACTTGGGGCCCTCAGTCCCACAGCCCGTGAGGAACGCAGTCCTGCTGTGGGCCACGTGGCCCTCAGAGCACGTGCCAAGCGACTCCTCCCCCAGCTGAGCTTGACGAGAGGCCTGACCCATGAACCCCGGGAGGTAACACCTCTTTGATGTTTTCAGCTGCCATCTTAGAGGCAATTTTTGGTGCAGCAGTAGATGAACAGACAACGCACAGGTAACGGGACAGCAGCAGCAATGCTGGCTTTATTAGTTCATGAGGGTTTGCAAAGTAGAGACGTTCAAATTCTCTCTTCCTTCGTCACTGTTAGCTGAGATATATCTACCAAGAGAAGCTTCCCTCCCTAACTCTTTGGTCCTGTTGAGGTATGATTTGTATAGGAAAGGCAAGATCAGTACTTGATTCTTTCCCTTTGTTTACTAGTTTTTAAAATAATGAGCTGTTTTCATACATCTCAAAAGTATAATTACAAATGAATGGATTTGAACATTTTTTACGTTCCAACTAGTTAAAATTATTATCCTTGCGGATGTGCAGGTCATCCCATCCCGGTCCAGGGGCAGCCCACTTGACTGACTCCCGAGTCCCTTCCACACCGCCCGATGGTCTTCGATGGTGACTTTGGTCTCTAGCAAGAAGGGGCATTCTGGGCTCATCTTACGCATTTCCTGACCCAGACCTGACAGCGTCCAGTTCTCTGAGGAGCCCCTCGTCCTCTCAGGATGCCACAGTCTGGATGTCAGCTCTTGTTGCTGTTGGATTAGTCATAGATCTTAGACCTCGAGAACAGATGTGACCGCTCAGCGCGGGTCTCTCAAGCGGGTTGAGAGGGCTCCTGTGTGCTGGCGAACCTAGTACTTCCTGGGCCCACCCTGCGCAGTCGGCCTCAACCCAGCCATCTGTAGGACTGGCCACCCCCCCAGGGGAGACTCGACTTCCCCTGTCCCAGTCCAGCTGCTGGGCATTCCCGATGCACACACTCTGCCTCTCACGGTCTGCCGCTGTCTTCCCACCAGACTCCTTCAGCCTGAGGGCCCTGCCAGGAAGCAGGGCCTTTGAGCTTTTGCTGGGCAGTATGCCCCGGAAGGTCCTTGATCAGGGGAGTGGCACCTGGGAGGGGAGCTCTTGGACGGAACAGTGGGTGGGGTGAATGGGGAGGGGGTCCCCAGGCAGGGTCCAGGATGGCTTTGTCTGCTGGGAATGGAGGGCCCCGGAGACCAAGGTCAGGCGCCTGGCGGTGGGAGGGCCGTGGAGGAAGGCAGCATCCCCAGGAGTGGGCCTGGTGTGGGGCCAGCCACAGCCTTCCCATCAGAGAAAGGGGAAGGAGACCTGGGAGGCTGGACGAGCAGTTCAGGGCTCAGCGAAGGAGGAACAGGCCGGGAGGAGACAGGAGCCTGCAGCGGAGCAGCTCCCGAGGCCCGCCCCACTGCCAGGGAGGGGTCACAGAGGAGCTTCTGACAGCAGTGGAAGGGCTCGGGGTCAGCGTCTGGGCGGCATCTGCCCTCCCCCCGCAGGAGCCTCCTCCTGCTTCTGCGGTAGTCCCCATGGGCAGGGTCCCGTCTTGTGTGTGGGGCTGCTGCAATGGCCACTTCCATCAGCCACGGGTGACCAGGCCTCCCGAGGCACCTGCAAGCAGGGGTTGAAGGGTGCTGCTGGGCACGGCAGGGCACAGGCAGGACAGATGGGCGGAGGGCTCTGAGGAGGTGGGTGAGGCCACTCCTGAGTGCCCCAGCAGCCTGGCCTTCACTGCGGGAGTGGGTGCAGGTTGGAAAACTGACCCCATGTGGGGCTCCTGTTTGGGGGATGGATGTGGACACTGGGAGGGGTGGGAGAGGGCACTGGGTGCTACTGGCAACCCACTCAGGACCTCCTGGGGCCCCACAGTGTCCCTGGCCGTCCTGTGGTGGATTCTTTCTCCTGCCAAAGTCCCCCTTGCTCAGGCTGAAGCTCCATCTGGAAAGGGCTGTGGAGACCCTTTCTGAGCACCCAGCTCAGAGACCCTCTGCCAGAGCTGCGGGATCCAGACAGAGAGACCAGATGAAGGCACCTCCGGGGCCAGGGTGAAGGGTCCCAGGAGAGGACTCGGGGGCAAGTGTGGCTGAAGGCCTGGCCTGTCTGGGGTCTCAGAGCGTTTGCAAGGAGGATGCTGGGGAGGAGCAGGTGAAGAGCAAGAGCAGGCAGCACCACCAGGGGCCAGGATGGAGGCCAAGGCAGAGCCCAGGGCAGAAGCCAGGGCAGAGGCCAGGACAGAGGCCAGGATAGAGGCCAGGACAGAGAGGCCAGGGCAGAGGCCAGGACAGAGAGGCCAGGGCAGAGGCCAGGACAGAGGTCAGGGCAGAGAGGCCAGGACAGAGGCCAGGACAGAGGTCAGGGCAGAGAGGCCAGGACAGAGGCCAGGGCAGAGGCCAGAGCAGAGAGGCCAGGACAGAGAGGCCAGGGCAGAGGCCAGGACAGAGGTCAGGGCAGAGAGGCCAGGACAGAGGCCAGGACAGAGGTCAGGGCAGAGGTCAGAGCAGAGAGGCCAGGACAGAGGCCAGAGCAGAGAGGCCAGGACAGAGAGGCCAGGGCAGAGAGGCCAGGACAGAGAGGCCAGGGCAGAGAGGCCAGGACAGAGAGGCCTGGGCAGAGGCCAGGACAGAGAGGCCAGGGTGGAGGCCAGCACAGAGAGGCCAGGACAGAGAGTCCTGGGCAGAGGCCAGGACAGAGAGGCCAGGGTGGAGGCCAGCACAGAGAGGCCAGGGCAGAGGCCAGGGTGGAGGCCAGGGCTGCCGGCTACTGGGGTGACCAGATGGAGGAGTGGGCCTGGAGGCTGGGCACTGCCCCCCGCCTGCCCCAGGGCTCCATCCATCGGGCCCCTGGTGTGTTCTGACCAGTCACAGTTGGTGCAAGAGGTCCCACTGCCTGGGAGGGGATCCCAGAGGGGCTTCTGGCAGCAGCAAAGGCTGGAGCAGGGCAGATGGCCTGGGGAGGCCTGCCCAGGAGTGAGAAGCAGCAGCTGTCCCAGGGCGAGTGAGCCTTCTCAGCTGGGTGGGCTCCTGCCCTCAGCCCTGGGGAGCTGGGGAGGGTCCTGCGTGCTGGTGCCTGACCAGAGGACCACAGGGCTCCACCGCCCCAGACTTGCCTTGGCTCTCTGGGAACAGGGCAGCCATGTCCCCTCAGCCCCTGGGGCTGGCAAGGGGCCCGGCTTGGGAAGAGGCAGACGTGGCCTCGGCATCCTGTGGTACTTCCAGGCTGGTTCCTTTCTCTCGCCTTTCACCCTGGTCCGTTGAATCGATCGTTTCAAATCAGTTTGGATGGGAAACACGGGCACATGCGTGGGACCTGATAGGTAACAAGAGGGGCTGGTGAGACTAGGCCTCCCACACCCTGCCCCAGGCACAGCCAGGCCTGCGGATGCGCTGCGGGGGCTCCTCAACTCCCTGCCCCCACTCTTGTCCCTGGCCACATCCTCCCCATCAGCCGCACGCATGGATGCAGGAGAGAGCAGCGGGGTCTCGGAGCCGCAGGGCCACTCCCGTGTGGGGGAGGCATGAAGGAGCCCCACAGTGGGGTGGGGGGTTTCCCAGAGAGCGGGAAGTAGCATCTGCAAGGGCAGAGGCTGGGAGACTTCCTGAAGACTTTCCAGAAGAGGCCCACGGTGGCCTTAGAGGAGGGAAGTGGGGGCTGGGGCGATTTGGAGCTGTGCCAGGTAGGTGGCAGCCGGGAGGACGTCTCCCGCAGCTCGGGCTGGGGGTGTTTCTCACAGGGGGCTCAGGCGGCGCGACTGGACTCTGCTGCTCCTGCCCCCAGGCTGCCTCTTCCGAGGTGGCAGACACTGGCTGCTGCCCGCCCAACCCCCCACCCCCACACTGGACTGCCACCCCCAACCGGAACCACTTCCCATGGCCTCTCCTGCCACTGCCACAGCCCTGGGGTGAGGGTGGGGGGCACCACAGGGCCTACTTTGTGCAGGAAGAGCCCCAGGTCATGTGGGAAGCCCCCACTGGGGCACAGGTTGAGGGAACCCCAGGCCAAAGCTGCTGGTCTTGCGACAGCCAGCCCTTGTCCCCTGGGCCTCTCGGACCAGTGACCTCGTCTGCCCGTGCAGCTGATGGGCTTTTTTTTTTTTTTTTTTTTTAAAAAGATGACCGGTAAGGTGATCTTAACCCTTGACTTGGTGGTGTCAGCACCACGCTCAGCCAGTGAGCGAACCGGCCATCCCTATGTGGGATCCGAACCCGGGGCCTTGGTGTTATCAACACCACACTCTCCCGAGTGAGCCACGGGCCGGCCCAGCTGATGGGCTTTGACCTCCACAGCTCTTTCATGGCCACAGAATCCTTCTCTGTTTTTATAGTTTTTATTATGAAAACTTAAAAAAAAATTATCTCCTTTTTTCTTTCCTTTTTGTAAAACATTTTTACTGATTATTCATATTCATGGGGCACAGAGCTGACCATCAGCACCTGTGCCCAAGATGTGGTGAGCACATCAATGCTATCAGCATGCCCACCTCAAATTGCAGTTATTCCCCGTGTCCCCCACCCAGCCTCTCCCCAGTGCCCCTTTCCCTCTACCACCTGCCACCCTGGCAACCCTGGGTCTGTTCTCTCCCTCTGCAAGTCCAATGCACCACTGTGTTCTGTCTTTGCTTCCTTTTAAGGGACACCCCAACCCCTACTGACCTTAACACTTTCTCTCTTAGCTCCCACTTATGAGTGAGCACATGTGGTATTTACCCCTCTGTGCTTTGCTTATTTCGCTCAACCTAAGTTTCTCCAAGCTCATCCATGTTATTGCAGATGGGAGAATTTCATTCTTTTTTATGGCAGAGAAGTATTCCATGGTGTATATATACCACAGTTTCCTTATCCATTCATCCATCAATGGACATTTAGTTGCTTCCATATCTTGGCTATTGTGAACACAGCTGTGATGACCATGGGAGTGCAAGTATCCCTTTGACATGATGAATTCCATTCCTCTGGGCATATACCCAGAAGTGGGATTGCTGGATCGTATGGAAGATCTGATATATCTGTAGCTGTTTGAGAAACCTCCATACTGTTTCCATAGTGGCTGTGCTAATTTACCAACACTGCAGAAGTGCAGTGGGTTAGAAATCTGGATTCTCCTTTGATCTTAGAATAGGATTTTTAGGTAATGCATGAATGAGCCAAAAGGCTCTTGAGTAGGGGACCAAAGTCCACAGGTAAGTTTGGCAAAAGCCATCTAATCAATTCTAATCACTATTTAGGGATGGGATTGTGTACTTTGACTGTTTTAGGTTGCTGGTTTGATTCTGGCTTGAATGACTATTGACTATTTAACCTACTGATTATTCTTTAGATATGTTAAGAAAACTGCTTGAATGCGGTTTAAATATGCTAAAGAAATCGCTGTGCGAAGTATGTAGAAAAGAAAATGTTTACTCAGGGCTAGCTGTTTGCTGGTGGATTGACTTAGCTTTTTACAAATTGCATTCTGGAATGTCACAGTGTTAATTTTACTGCTGTTACTAGTTTTAGTTGTTTAAAGCAATACTTAGCTATAATTCCCTTTTGTAACACTGCCTCTTTTTATGTCCTTCTTTGATGATTGAATCGACTGATTTTTATTGTGAAACTTCCTTGTCTTGTCAATAAAAAGAAAGGTTGATTTTGAATCGGGGCTGCTGCTCCCCTGATGGGCAGCAGTCCCTCCAGTCCTCATTCATGTTACCTTGAGTGAATTTTCTTCCTTTCTCTTTTTTCCGTCTTGGTTACACAGAGGGAAGTGTAACACAGAGGGAAGGCTCCCCTTCCCCGCATCCTTGCCACCGTTTGTTATTCTCTGCCTTTTTGGTTTTAGCCAGTCTAACTGGGGTGAGATGATATTTCAGTGTGGCTTTGATTTGCATTTCCCTGATGATTAGTGATGTTGAGCATTTTATCAAGTACCTGTTGGTCTTTTCACTTGGTTGATTGTTTCCTTTCCTGTGCAGAAGATTTTTAGTTTGATACAATCCCATTTATTTATTTTTTCTTTTGTTGCTTGTGCTTTTGGGGTCTTATTCATAAAGTCTTTGCCTCATCCTATTTAGAAAAACATAAAGACTCCACCAAAAACCTGCTAGAGCTGACTAACAATTTCACTAATGCTGCACGATACAAAATCAACACCCCCAAATTAGTAAGGTTCTCCAACAACAAACTAGCAGAAAAAGAAATCAAGAAAGTAAGCCCATTTATAATAGTCACCAAAAAAATAAAATACCTAGGAATCAATTTAACGAAGGAAGTGGAAGATCTCTTCAATGAGAACTACAAATCAGTGCTGAAAGAAATAAAAGAGGACACAAAAAGGTGGAAAGACATTTCATGCTCTTGAATTGGAAGAATCAACATTGTGAAAATGTCCATACTACCCAAAGCAATCTACAGATTCAATGCAATCCCCATCAAAATACCAATGACATTCTACACAGAAAAAGCAATCCTAACTTTCATATGGAATAACAAAAGACTTCGAATAGCCAAAGCAATCCTGAGCAAAAAAAATGAAGCTGCAGGCATTACACTGCCTGACCTCAAATTATAACAAAGCTATAGTGACCCAAACAGCATGGTACTGGCATAAAAACAGACACTCAGGCCAATGGAACACAACAGAGAACCCAGAAATCAACCCACAGACTTACAGCCAACTGATCTTTGACAAAGGCACCAAGAACATACATTGTGGAAAAGATGCCTCTTCAATAAGTGGTGCTGGGAGAACTGGACGTCTATACATAGAAGAAGGAAACTCGACCTGTACCTGCTGTCATACACCAAAATCAACTCGAGATGGATTAAAGACTTAAACATTAGACCTGAAACTATAAAACTACTAAAGGAAAACCTAGAGGAAAATGTCAAATATATAAAAAAGTAGGGAATCTAGGGCAGAGAACCCCGTGTCCCCGTCCTCCATTGCCACACAATCACCTCCTGCTATGCCTGCCACACCAGCTTCATCCAGAGCCCCACCCCTACCAGACACCTTCCAGGTGAATCCCAGGCATCTTCATTTCAGCCGCAGACACTCCGTGTGTATTTCTGGCAGACAAGGGCTTCATAGGAGTCCGACCCCAGCGCCATCACTGCACCCCAGGAAATCGTGCTAACGCCTTAACCCTGGCTGTCCAGTCTTCCCGTTGCCTTGCAGAAAGCCTCCCCAAGCAGCTTGTTGCAGTCAGCATTCAAATTAGGTCCTCCAGCTCTGTCTGTGGCTGCTTCTTTGCTCCATGCCCTGAGGGCAAGCAGAGATCCCACAGGCTGGGCTCCACGGAGGCAGGGACAACCCTGTGGAGGGACACAGGGGCAGAGGGAACCCGCACGGAGACCGCGAAGCCAGCGAGGGTTTGTTTCATCTGGCCTGGAATATGCCCCAGCTGGCCACAGCCGGCCCCTCTGGGAACTGGTGCGCTGGGGTGACAGGGTAGGCCCAGAGGCCAGGAAGGAGTCACTGGGGACAGAGGACTCCTGAGGGGCTGGAACCAGGGGCAGGCAAGGGGGGGCAGAGAAGAGGCTCCTCGTGGTCATGGCGCAGAGGGTGGGAAGCTGGTGGGTGGCCTGTGGTGGTGCAGGTCCAGGGTGTTCCGTCCAGGGGTGGGAGGTGTGCCTGGGGGGCTTGTAGAGGTGGAAAGGAATTGGAGAAAGAGCAAGAGAGGCAGGCAGAGAAAGGCCCAGGCAGCGGCTGGCCTGCCCGGGAAGGCCCAGTGAAGGCAGTGGGGGGACACCATGTCCCCCCTGCACTGCAGCCCCCATGGTGTCCTGGTCCCCCAAGCCCACCCCCTCATGGTTTCTCCACACCTGCAGTGCGCAGGGCCAGCCCCTCCAGGCCAGTCGGGAGGTGTTTCCCAGCAGGGCGCCTACCGCAGACCTGCTTCTGCCCAGGGGGAAACAGCACGTGCTGAAGTCGGCAGCGACGTGGAAGCTGGGCGGGGGGCTCCTGTCCTCTCTGCTCGCCTTCTCTCAGCCATGCAGCAAGGGGAGCCACGGCCAGTCCCCCAGCCCGGAGCGCCAAGGACCCCACTCGTCCATGGCCCCCGCTCCTGGGGCAGGGCCAATCTCGGGCGGGCAGGGAAGGCACTCAGGCTGGGCACTTAACGGGGGCACAAAAACACTCATCAGGATAAAACAATACTTAATGTATTACCATATTTTAACAGATCAAAACTAACGCAGAAACCCACCGTGATCAGCATCAACATTTTAGACAAAGGCAGGGCCCCCA